CCGAAAAGAATGGGCAACCAAGAACTCCAAGATACTCCCTTATCTGCATCATGTACAGGAATTGAAGAAAAGGTTCACAAAGACAAAGTTCCAACATGTTCCCAGAGTTCAGAATGAGTTTGCTGATGCATTGGCTACCCTATCGTCCATGATACAGCACCCCGACAAGAACTTCATTGATCCTATTCCAGTAAAGATCTATGATCAGCCAGCTTACTGCACTCATGTAGAAGAAGAAGCAGACGGAAAACCTTGGTTTCATGATATCAAGGAATACTTGACGAAAGGAGAATATCCAGAACTCGCAAATCCTACTCAGAAATGCACACTTCGGAGACTATCTAACAGCTTCTTTCATAGCGGACGGATCCTATATAGGAGGACTATTGATTGGGGTTACAAAGGTGTGTCGACGCAAAGGAAGCATCCAGGATATTGGAAGAAATTCATGCAGGGACCTGCAGTCTGCATATGAACGGCTTTGTCTTAGCCAAGAAGATACTTCGAGCTGGTTATTTTTGGGTGACTATGGAGACGGACTGCATCCAGTTTGTCCGAAAATGCCATCGCTGTCAAATACATGCAGACATGATAGAGGTGCCTCCAAACGATCTTACTGCAACAAGCTCACCATGGCCATTCGCCGCTTGGGGAATGGATGTTATCGGACCTATCGAGCCTGTCGCATCAAACGAGCACAGGTTCATTCTAGTGGCAATTGATTATTTCACCAAATGGGTTAAAGCAGCATCGTACAAAGCAGTGACTAAGAAAGTGGTAGCAGATTTTGTCCGCGGCCGTATTGTTTGTCGGTTCGGAATTCCGGAGTCAATCATCACTAATAATGGTTCCAATCTCAACAGCAACCTAATGAAAGCCATGTGTGAAACCTTCAAGATCAAACACAAGAATTCTACAACTTACAAACCTCAGATGAACGGAGCTGTAGAAGCCGCCAATAAGAATATCAAGAAGATACTAAGGAAGATGATAGAAAAGCATAAGCAGTGGCATGAGAAGTTAACATTTGCTTTATTGGGATACCGCACCAAATTTCACACCTCAACCAGGGCAACTCCCTATATGTTGGTTTATGGTACAGAAGCAGTCATTCCTGCCGAGGTAGAAATTCCCTCCTTGAGAATCATACAGGAAGCAGAACTTGACGATGCAGAATGGGTTAGGAGTCGCTACGAGCAGTTAGCTCTTATAGATGGGAAAAGAATGAATGCAGTTTGCCACGGTCAGCTCTATCAGAATAGAATGTCCAGAGCCTTCAACAAAAGAGTCAAGCCGAGACAGTTTACACCAGGGCAGCTGGTGTTAAAGAAGATTTTCCCGCATCAAGATGAAGCTAAAGGGAAGTTCTCTCCCAACTGGCAGGGTCCATATATGGTTCACCTGGTCTTCACCGGAGGAGCCCTCATACTTGTGGAAATGGACAGTGAAGTTTGGCCGAAGCCGATCAATTTAGATGCAGTGAAGCGATACTATGTGTGACTTTTATGCTTTCCTCATATAATGTAATTTGAACTATGCCTGACCTGATTCCTGTGTAAGAGGGGATATGTAGGCAGCCCTATGGGTTCGGTCATAATTCAATAAAAATATCATTTCCCCCCGCTATCGGAAACTGGGGCAGAATTTTGAGGAGGACCCTCAAAATTCCGAAGTGATTTCAGTCATTCGACGCAAGAAGCCGTCGGAGCAGCAGCCCGGTAAACCGGGGCAGAATTTTGAGAAGGACCCTCAAAATTCCGGAGCGAGAGAAGTTGCAGTATCTTGGACCACGTCGTCGTCGTCAGTTCATCTAAAGAAAACTATTCTTAATTATATACTTAATGTCACATTTCTTTACTAAATCATGCATGCATGTTACCAAAGTTGCTTCGTTTAGCAACGCTACCCCAATGATACGTATAGTATCACCAGATCAAAGTCGAGCAGGTCAAGCAAAGCCAGCGGGGATACGAACTAACTTTTCTCCCATTACAAACTCACGATTTTCTTTGGATACAGGCATTTGAGTTGCAAAATCATCAAATATATACACTCACGAGACTCACATTGCTCAGGAATATAACTCTCAGGAACATTGCACTTACTCACAGCTGCTATCCGCACATAGTGCTCCCAGCAGACACCGTATCCCCAGCAGTCGCAATATCTCGATCCGCTACCAGCTAAGAAAATTCTATCATCATTTTGCCCCTTTACTCCTTGCATAAGGCTACCTTTCTGCCTTCCGAGGTTAAGCTCTACCTCCATCTGCATTTCCTACATTGCATAAGGCTACCTTTCTGCCTTCCAAGACTAAGCATTGTCTCCATCTGCATTTCCTGCATTGCATAAGGCTACCATTCTGCTTTACGAGACTAAGCATTGTCTACATCTACATTTCCTGCATTGCATAAGGCTACCTTTATGCCTTTCGAGGTTAAGCTCTACCTCCATCTGCATTCCTGGATTGCATAAGGCTACCTTTCTGCCTTCCGAGGTTAAGTTCTACCTCCATCTGCATTCTTTCATTGCATAAGGCTACCTTTCTGCCTTCCGAGTTAAGCTCTACCTCCATCTACATTTCCCTGCATTGCATAAGGCTACCTTTCTGCCTTCCGAGACTAAGCACAGTCTCCATCCTGCATTGCTCTGGATTGCATAAGGCAACTGTTCTGCCTTTCGAGACTAAGCACTGTCTCCATCCTGCATGGCTAAAATATCACCACTTTATCGCTCTTGCATTGGCTGAAATATTGCCACCTTTTAATTACATCTTGCATCAGCAGAAATATCGCCACCTTCTGCATTTCATAGGCTGAAAGATCGCCAAATTGTCCAAAGGCATCATTGTTCGGAGGCACAGTGGCTTCATTTTAGCTTGTCATCTGGCTTAACCACAATGCATACTACTCTCCTTTTAATATAATATAGAATATAGATGGTATAATTTTATAGTACGAAATATTGGTATAAACTCATCCCACATTTGAAGGTGGAGTAACAATACATTTCGTAAAGACAAAATTACCCCTCCAAATGCCCTTTTCACTGCATCAGTTTTCGTCACTTCTCTGCAAACCCTTTTTTCTCCGACGATACAACCAAGCTTGACATCTCAGCCATGGCTCCCTGATATCACGAGAGAAAATCTGCTTCTCGTTCTCAGTAAGTTTTTGTTTCTTTTCTTCCCTTCTCTTGTTACGTCCCTTTTCAACCCCATTCTCTATTATTACACAGAAGTCTTTATCTAAAAAACCTTTTTTATTTCTTTTTTGTTACTTCTCTTTGTCCAAGGTATCTATTTTCTGTTTGTTGATTAACAGCTGTTGGGGGTTTGATTTTGGTTTGTACTTGTTTTGTTTGCTGAAACGCAGAATTTTCAGTATTCTTTTACATAGTAAATATAGTTTTAGTGAAATATTAATGATTTTTACCATTCTCAACCTCATTGCGCCCAATTCGCCCTATGCCGCAGTAATATAGGTGAAAAAACCAAGTGATTTCAGGTGAAAAAGTCGCAGTAGATTACTTTTCTAATCCCTTCCAGATTTAAAAACAAATCAGTATGTAAAAGCAAGGCTCAGTTGCTCTGCTTCTCCGAAGAATATCTACTCTTAATTTAACACTGACAGTAAAAATCCTTGCTATGTTGAATCAGAAGTGTTCAGCCTTTTCATTTACTTTTTAATCATAAGGTAAATTTAGTTTTGTTGTCCGAAAACCTAAGCTTTGTTTATTAGTACTTCGCCCATTTCTAAGGTAAGATATCTTGTCTCCTGCAAGTCTTTCTAGATTAAAGTTGAAGTTGGAGTGGATTGAATTCGTGAATGTAAGAATACAAAAAGGAATGTGGTAGTTACCTGTACAAAAAGGAGTTGATTGCATCTTCATTGTTTGCTTCATTAGATTTATATGCTGGAGTTTATCATTGTAAAATTTTGTGTTCTATGTTTTGCTAGCTGCCTAATGGATTGTGAAAAATAAAGTTCATTCCTTTCTATTTCTTTACTTGATCAGCTTTCCCACAAGATCATAAACGAGTAATCACGCAGCACCTCCTAATCAAGCGTCGAAGGACATGGACACTAGAAGAAGAACGCGCTCTTGTTAAAGGTTTAAAAGATTTATGTATTAGAGGTTGGAAAGCTGATAATGGAACCTTTATGAATGATATATGATGGAGTTGGAGCATCATTTACAGAAAATCTGCACCACATATTAATTCTAAATTGAAAGCGTGGAAGAGGGACTATAGTACTATAGTTTCATTGAAAAGTCGAAGTGGATTGGACTTTCAATATGGTGAAGGAAGAAGTATAGTTGATGATCTAACAAAATGGGACGACATTGTTAAGGTAATGAAAGTTTTTTTTTCCAAGTAATTGGATATGTTAGTTAGTTCTCTTCAAAATGTTTAATAGATGTATTATATTTTTGATGCCTCAGCTCCATGAACTTGATATATGTGACTAGTATGAGCATGAGGATGCATATGTAAATGTAATGCATGAATGCTAATTGTGGTATGGGCATCATACCTTTTGTCTATTTATAGCTTTTTATGATCGCGTGATATTGTTTTTATATTTGTGACATGCTTGAACAACTTCGTGGTGATTTTATGGCACTATTGGTATTCCAGAGCAATGTGTATGTTTGCCGCTGCACTTTTTTACTTTCAGTTTCTGCAGATTTTGACTGCAGTTTCTACACTCTTTATTACTGTAGTTTCTGCACTTATTTTAGTTTCGGTTTTTGCATATTTTAATTTCAGTTTGTAGTTTTAATTTTCAGTTTAGCAGATTTTAGTTTCAGTTTCTGCATAGACATTAGCTGCAGCTTCTGCACTTTTTTACTGGAGTTTTGCACGGTTCTTGTATTTTTTTTGCACCATAAAAGGGCAGCCCGGTGCACTAAGCTCCCGCTATGCGCGGAGTCCGGGAAGGGCCGGACTACAAGGGTCTATTGTACGCATCCTTATCCTGCATTTCTGCAAGAGACTGTTTCCACGGTTTGAACCCGTGACCTCCTGGTCCCTGCATTTTTGCACTATATTTGAATAATTTTTGCATAGTTCCTGTACTTTTCTGCATTCTTTTTGCACAGTTTCTGCATAATTCCTGCGTTTTTCTACAATGTTTCTACATTATTTCTGCACTCTTTTTGCATAGTTTTTGCATTTTTCTGCACTGATTTGCACTCTTTTGCATAGTTTCTACATTTTTCTGCATATTTCGACACTATTTTAGCTTCAGTTTGTGCACTTCTTTTGCAACAGTGCAACAATAATAAGAAAATATTGTTGGGTGGAGTTTTCTGTTAAGAAAAATATTGTTTGTATAAATCATGAAATATCAAAGGTTAAAATAGGAAATATAATTTTATCCAAGTTTATCCAACTTTAAACCAAACACATGTTTAAGAACAAAATATCATAAGTTATCTCCAAATATCAAAAAATAATGTACTCCATAAGAATGACATTCCATTTGTGGCAGATTGAGGATATACTGGTTCGGAAAGTTATATGAATATTAAAACCTATATCGTTATTATATATAATTTTCACTTAGTTTCTGCGTGTAAGGACGTTTTTGTTAATAGGAAGTAATTAAAATTAATTACTAGTATAGAAAAGGTTCATCCTGATCAAGTTTCTCTGTTAGGATTTAGGTATGTCCGTTACCTAATAATTATAACCACTTACTGTGAACCCTCGGGGTTGGCCCGGTGGCAATTGACTTGAGCCTTGGGGTTTGTTCCCTCTCAAAGTCTCAAGTTCAAAACCCATTGGGTGCAAACAATTTCTGAGGGTCATCGGATTGGGTAAAATCTAAATTAACCGTGGTGCACTTTCGGGAAACTCCTTGCCGAGAGCCTGTGCGCCCCCGGGATTAGTAGTCTATCTTAGAGACTCGGACATCCGGTGCAAATCAAAAAAATTAAAAATAACCACTTACTGTGCCATTAAACATAGTTGATTTTCATATTTTTGTGTTTTGTTTTTGAGTTGCTAATATTGAAATGATGCATATAATCTTCTATAATTTGGACTAATATAATGATGTTGATATTAACTCAACTTGAAATTTAACATGTTGAGCTTATACTTGACTTTGCGTATGGGAAGATGAAGTTTGATTGTTTTAAGATCTCTCTAAACTTGAATGGTACACTTGCAACTTATTACGAAAAACATAAAATAACACTAAATTATTGAGCTTTTTTCTTTTCTTTAATTTACTTTCAGGTCCTTCAGTTAATAGGGGTAAAACAAAGTTCTACATTCAATCCAAACCATATATAATTATTGTAGAATTTGGAAGAACATATGCACAAATACTAGATTTGCACATATTGTCACAAAAAGAATAATAAAACAAAGTTATACTTTGCACCTACTAACACACAATTTTGAATTTATGAGTAAACAAAAATATTTTTTAATGTGAAATTATGTCAATCATTTTTCTCTAAGTATGGGCAAAACATAGTTCATTCGGCTATAAATAGTTTAATCAAACATAGCGAACGTATGACAACGAAAACGTTTAAGATTCCTAATAAAATATTTATTATTATGGTATTTATTTTTTGCACTATAAAAAAGTAACGATAGTTAAGAGAACCGAAAAGCTAAAACGAAATACTTATAGTGAATAATTTAATATTATAAAGTTTAAAATAAAATAGTAGGAGTAATACAGACAATATCATCTTTCCTTCCTCAATCCCCTAATGATTTTAAAATAAAAATAAAAATAATGAATAATTACCTTCGGTCTTATCCTTTGAAAACACATAATGAATGGGTCCCACATTTAAATCATTCAGGAACACGCTCATCCAGTATCACCCGTTGAGTCGGTGAAAGTAACGGTCAAATTTCGGGCCGGTACGGGCCCGATTCATTGCACTACCCCATCTACCCGTTATTTTACCGACATTACCCTTTTCTAATTCCCAAAATAACTAAAATATCATAGTCGGTCTAAAGGAGACCTGTACCTTTGGGGGCATATTAGTCCACTCAATATTTTATTCTCTCTAGATACAAAGAAGAAAAAGGACTTGGTAAAACTTTGGGCCGACTTAGGGTTTGACACCACCACTCGCTGGAGAAGGAGGAAATTTGGAGGAGGCAAAATTCATCCGTCGACTTCTCTTTATCTTTATGTAAATCCCTCGATCTTTGATCTGTGTGAAAATTCAGTTCTTGTTGAAGTATTCTCATCGTTATTCTCATCGATCTTTGATACATGCATGTTTGTTTTTATTTGTGTGTATCTTTTTTATTGTTGATATCTATAATATATGTTTGTCGATGTTAGTATATATTGTGTTTTATTGAGAGTAGTGAATATATGATGTTTTATGGTGGTAAAGGTGAAAGCTTTGTTGTTTCGTTTATGTAGTAGTAATTGTGTTATTGAGCACTTGTAATTTTACGAACAAACTGGTGAGTGATTATTCACGTTCCCGGAATTGGAATATTCTCTCCTAAATGGTTATGAGTGTAGAAAGTTTTAGTTTTTTATTTTATTTTGATGAATTGGTTTAGATGTTTAGTAACTTACGGCGTTTTTATTGTTTTATGGAATTAAAAAATCTGTTTTACTTATTGTGTGCTGGAGTTTAAGTCATTAGGGGCGTTAGTTCCTTTAGCTTTTATTGTTGATTCGGAGATCAATTGAGAATTGTACTTGGACGCATTTTGTGCGTGTTATGGTAAATCATCATTCGTGATGATCTTTTTGATAACCAAGAAATCCCCAAGGGCTAGGTCATCACGGGTAATGTTATGTAACTTCCTCTCATTTTTTTTCTCACTTTTGCATGTATATGTTCAGATTATGGTCATTATGTTTTGCCTATCTCCACAAGGTTCACTTTCTTCACACTAAGGTTTCAACATTGGCCTTCGAACTCTAAAATTTAGTATTTAAGATCGTGATTTTCTTAATGTATTTTCTTGGGAGTCAAGGTGTATCGATCATATTCCCGAAATGGTGAAGGTTTGGTGGGTAGTGTCTGATTTTTTGGAATCATTTGGTGTGTTGATTTTACATTTTGGTATATTTCATTAGAGTGTATTTGTTGCACATACATGTTCTCATTACTAAATTTTGGTTTCTTTAGAAGAAATGATCACATGCCAAAACTTTAAGACAAAGACACATGTCATGGAGATGAATCCAATGTGCTAAAACATAAAGTTTGTATCTATTTGTGCTTAAACAAAGATATTAGATTTTATGCATGTCAGATGTTTCTTAAAAACAAGTGGTGCGTGCATATCGACGGAGGTATGTTGTAGCGTGGTGCAAGGTCCTCTCTAGACTTCTCCCTTGTCTAACTTCATTGATAGCATTTACATATATTTTTTTAATTGATCCACCGTGGTGGGGATTTGGAAGTTTATGAGTAGAGATGAAGGTTACCAGCTGTTGTTATTTATATTGTTGTTGTTTATATTAGTTGGAAGAGTCCTCTTCATGCCACTAGGTCAAGAGTTCGAGCCTAGTACTTGTCTAACAAAAATGAGTAGAGACGAAGGTTTAAGACCATAGACGTGTTACGATCCAATTTTAGTTTATTATTTTTAATTCTAGGATACAATGAAGAAGATTGTAGGTGAGATATCTATATATTTAGAAATTCAAGAAGATAATTTGAATCTTCCCATGTTTTTAGTAATAGTTGAAGGAATGCATTGAGTGATAAGGTATTGTTTTTCGGCACTTGAGCTTTTTTTACTTCTCAAATCTTGCCCAAGGCCGTGGTATTTATGTGTAATTGTATTTAACCCAACCCATCCAATCCTCTAATACAAGTAGATACCAAGGAACAATTATAGAACTCTTACATGTAAAGTTGAAATGCTTAAAAAGTGTACTCACAAGTATAATATCTTATGTGTTCGACAATCATCTACCTTATTTGGAGAGTTAAGGAAATGATTTTCTCGCACTATGCCGTGCAAATAATTCACATCCCAAACAATCTCGATCTCACTATGATGAGTCTGCTCTCCAGTTCATCATCTTGTCAGTGAATTCAACTAATTCTTTGAGGAGGTACTCTTTGCGTTCTCCTATTTTCTTTATTTATATATGTATTTATAATTGACCTTGCTTTTATTTCTTCTGCGTATTTCTCCTTTGGTGCATCATGAAAAGATGTCATTTTCTAGCTAAGTATATCATACACAAAATGGTTTCTAGTTTTAATAATTATTGTTTAGTTATTGACATGTAGTTTTTTTTTTATACACAATCACTAATCTATTGGAATGTAAGAATAAGGTTACTAGATATCACTCCTTTAAAATTAGCACGATTTCTCTCTTTTTCTT